AGGGTTGGCAGAGAATGGGCCTCTCGGGGAGTATGGGGGGATGGACACTGGGAGGAGGTGACTGTGGGGAGGAAGTGGGAGGGGAGCTGCTGCATTGTGAATTTTGGTCAATGACATGAGACGAGGTGTATGTGAACTGCTGTGTGAAAGGTGAATTTACTCTGTGGATCTTCGCCCAAATCCTAATAAAAAAAAAAAAAAAAAAAGAGCTTGTTTTGCATTCAATGTTACATGTACATTTAGTTTCATTACCCATTTACCATGTCCAACCCTAACCCAGTCTCCTCCCTGCCCCACCCTCTAACCCTCCCCCTGTGCCTCTCATATTTATGCACTCCTGTTTGTCCTATATTTCCTCAATTTGAATGTTGGTCCTCTGGTGTTCTGTGGTCTATTGCTCTAAGGGATGTATTACCATAGAGTATGTGGGTGTGTCATCCTGGGTTGAGTGGTCTATGTGTACATCTTGTTAACTATTGGGCTGAGAGACAGCCCCTGGGGGTGCATTTTATTCCAGGTGCAGAACATATTCCAGGGCCACAGTATTGGGGGTCTCATCAGATTTCATCTGATTTTTTTTCCATCTGATAATTTCCAAAATTATTGAGTTTTTGGATTTTGTTCCATGTTTTTCCTTCTACTCTATCCAGGATATCCAGATCTGATCCTTTCCTGAGTGGTTGGCATTGGTAGCCGGGCACCATCTAGTTCTGGTCTTGAGGGCCATCATGTCCTATGGCTGATTGCTTCCAAATGCCCTTGTGAGTTTTTTTTTTTTTTGCGTTCTTCGCTTCCAATGCTAGGAGACCATTAGCTGCATCTTAGATGGCTGCTTGAAAGCTTTTAAGACTCCAGTCGCTACTCACCAATGTAGGATGTGGAACAAGGCTTTTATGTATTTTGCTGTGCCAGTTGAGTCCGATGTCCTCCAGTACTATGGCCTGAGATAGTAGATCTATTGGATCTCTCTCCCATAGTGTCTGGTTGTCTGTGAGGGATTACTCTGTGTCTGACTTCTATTGTTTCTGTAAGGACTGCAGGTATTTTGTATCACTGGTGTCTGCAAGATTAGCCTCAGCTGAATCTATCCTTGATCTAGAGTATACTACTGTTCAATGACCCCCATCTGATCATCTCAGGTGTTTATGTGTTTATCTGGAGCCTGGTATTTGGTGTTAATGGCAAGGCACTATTGTGGACATATTGATTGGTATTAGAATATGTTGTCTATCTCTTACATGCACAATTCAACGTCATGTACTCTTATAAGAGTCTTAAGACAACTGTGACCTCCCTCCTCAGCTAAAATGTTTGTGTGCATAATCACACAACACTTGGTATACAAACTGATAGGCTTCAAAGCCCATCCATGACACTGGGTTAAAAACCCCTACTTTATTTATTTATTATTATTATTAAATTGTGCTTTGGGTGCAAATTTTCAGAGAATTTGTTTTACATTCAACAATTTGCGTACATTTAGTTTCACTCCCCGATTACCATCCCTAACCCTAACCCACTCTCCTCCTCTCCCTTAAAAACTTCTGCTTTAGAGGACTCAATTTCTTACCTCTTACAATAAACAGTTACTAGTCAATGAGCACATAAATAATATATGAAATCTATGTGTTATTGCTGTTAGGGGCATTCGAGTCAGCTCTGACTCATAGCGACCCTACGCACAACAGAACAAACACTGCCCAGTCCTGAGCCAGCCCCATAATCCTATTAATGCTTCAGCCTATCGTTGCAGCCACTGTGTCAATCCATCTTGTTGAGGGTCTTTCCCTTTTTCACTGACCCTCTACCAAGCATGATATCCCTCTCTAGGGAGTGGACCCTTCTGGTAACATGACCAAAATAGGCAGGACGAAGTCTGGCCATTTTTGCTTCTAAGGAGCATTCTGGCTGTACTTCTTAGCATTGACTTTTGTATTGTTGTGTGCCACTGAGCTGATTCTACCTTATAGTGACCCTCTATGACTTCCTAGAGCAGAACTGCCAACTTCCTAGAGCCTGGTTCCCTAGGCTGTAATCCTTATAGGAGATTGCCAGGTCGATTCTCCCTCAGAGCCACTGGATGAGTTCAAGCCATCAACCTTTCAGTTAGCAGCTGAGCACTTAATTCATGCATCACCAAGTCCTCCTTCATTGATTTTTATTGGAGGAGTTCTAAGTTCAGCAAGGCAAATGCAGAATATAAAGGAAAATAAAATAAAATCATGGCTCTTTAGTAGACACACTTACTTTGCATTCCTTCCCATACTTTTCTTTGGTCTGAAATACAGAAAAAAAAAGTGGCATTAATAGAAAAAAATAAAACAACTAGATGCCTACTCTTTCCCTAAATACGACCCCAAAAGATGTGTCTGGATATATCCCTGGCATCCTAAAGAGAAAACAAAATAAAAAAACATCTGTTTGGGGGTAGAGTGGGGATATATTCTAACCATGTACTAAGTGTTATAATCTCACAAGAGTCTTATGATCTAACATCACATAATGCTTGAGTTTCCACAGCCACAACTGCTGGCTCCTAAGTTCTCCCCTAAGAACTAAAATTCCTAATGGTTTTCATGATCTCCAAATGAGGAAGAATGCAGTCACAGTCAACCCATTTTACAAGTTTAATCAGAAGGCAACTACTACAGACTCACCCTGTGCTGATGCCCTTACTATAGTAAACATCTGTTTCCCATAAGCTCTTCCAACATCTTGAACATGAGACCGATCACAATACAGTAATTCAATCCTAGTCTAATTATTAAATGTTAATCACCACTAAATTTTACTCTTATTTGAAGGATGGGGATACCTTGCTTTACCCCTGTCCCCAAGACCCACACCCACATACAAAAAAGAGAGTACAATAGTACAGTGGCCAAAATGCATTTGACTGGAAGTCAGGAAACCTAGATTGTAATCTTGATTCTCTTCCTAACTTGCTCAGGTCCCTAGACTCAGAATATATGATTTTAAATCCCCCTCTACCCCTTACTTGCTATGTGAAAAGACACAAAACTCTCTGTGCCTCAGGTTAATAGACTAACCTCCCAGGTAACTGCTCAATAAACACATTAGCTATTATTATGACTCCTACATCACAGGATTGTTGTTGAGTTCCAAAATGAGATAATCAGCATGATAATGAGCAAAAAGGCTTGCACTTTGGGTCAGTAAAGCTGCATCACGGACAGTCAGTAAGTACCACAACTGTGACACAATATGAATAACTCCCGTATCACGCGCGACCACTCACCATTCGGATATATGGGTTTTCTCCAAGACACGTCTGGCACAGAATTGGGAAGTCCTGGTGAAAATGGGAAAACTGTTTGAAGACCAGGTTACGACGACCCTGTCATCTCTGTTACACTCAGAGACGGCGTGTGTGTGTGTGTGTGTGTGTGTGTGTAAGGGGGGTTGTAGGGGAGTGGGAATCCAGAGTGGAGGACAGGGCAGGAACCCTAGGTCCAGCACGGGCCCGGTCATGGGAGGGGGCGCTGTCTGCACTTCCGGCAAGCAGAGGGAGAAAAGAAAACCAGTTCTAAAAGCTGGAGAGGTCAGGGATGTTAAGAGGGCTGACTGATTCTGGATCTAGCTAAGCCCCTTCCCTCCAAGACTCTATGAGGGGCTTCGCCTCTAGCCAACCTAGGCCGCGGCGCTGGCTCCTGCCCGGAATTCTCTCCGGCACTCCGGAGCCTCGCCTTGCCTGCCCGCGTGAGGGCGGCTTCGCCAACCCTTCAGTCCTTCTCCCGTAGGCACACTCACCGCATCCTCCCAGTTCTGCCTGTTGTAGGTGTTAGAACCTAGAGATGTCGCCATCTTGAGAGCGTCGGGAGGCAGCGGTGGCTTGAGTTGGAAGAGAGTACCGCCACAATCCCGTCATCCCCAGAGGCTGGCTCCCGGCTTGTCTACGTCTTATTTATGCGTCTAGTGCGCCCTTGGGGGCGGGCCTTAACGTCATCACGTTGTTCTCTCGTAATTTCTTTGCCTCAGAGTTGGTGTCTTGGTATATAGCGTAACCTTTTGTCCCTTTGTAGCACCCTTTCGACTCCACGGCAATGAGTTGATGTTGCAAAGAGTTTATTCTTATTGGGGGTGAAGAGCCACAGCACAATTGGCTTAGTTAAAAACTGGGCAAAAGAATAAAAGTACAAGTAATGAATGAGGGACTGGGATTAAACAGTGTTAGCATTTACTGAGCCCGTATTGTGCCAAGCTCTGGGCGAAAGGCTTACGCCAGTGTCTCACAATGACTTCTCTGTAGTGTTGCCAGATTTGGCAAAGAAAAATACAGGACACCCAGTTGAATTTGAATTTCAGATAAACAATTTTTTCTGGCAACCCGACCCTCTAGGCAAGTATGATTATTCGGAAACTGAATAGAACGAAACTTATAAAACACTGCTGAAAGAGATTGAAGAAGACCTAAGTAAATGGAAAGATCTTCCGTGTGCATGGATTGGAGGACTTTATATTGTTAAGATGTCAATATTACCCAATGCAATCTCTATATTTGACGCAATCCCTACCAAAATTCTAACAGCCTTCCCTACAGAAATAGAAAAAACAATCCTTAACTTTATATGGAATGTCAGGAGGTCCCAAATAACTAAAGTAATGTTGAAGGAGAACAACATAGGAGAACACACATATCCTGACTTTAAAACATACTATACAGCATAGTGGCTAAGACACTTGCCTGCTAACCAGACGGCTGGCGGTTCAAATCCACCAGCCACTCCTCGGAAGGAAGGTTGGGCAATCCTACTTCCGTAGTGATACTGCCTCGGAAATCCAAGGAGGGGTCGCTATGAGTCGGGGCCGACTCGACGGCACATAACAACAACAACATACAGCTATAATAATCAAAACAGCCTGGTACTTTATAATTAATAGACACGTAGACAATGTGATAGAGTTGAGAATCCAGAAATAAACTCACACATCCACGGTCAACTGATTTTTGACAAGAGTGCTAAATCCATGTAATGGGGAAAGAAGAGTATCTTCAAAAAAAAAAAAAAAAATGCTGAGAAAATTGGATTTCCACAAGCAGAAAAATCCACCATACAAACGAATAAATTCAAAATGGATTAAGGACCTAAATGTGCAAACTAAAGTCATAAAATTCTTAGAAGAAAAAGCAGGGTAAAGGCTGTTCATAAAAAGACTTAATGAAAAAAGTGAAAAAACAAGCTACCACTGGGAGAATATCTTCAGAAATCAAATATCTGACAAGCATCTAATAATCAAAATATATATAAAACTTGGACAACTTAACAAAAAGAAACCCAATCATGATATGGGCTTGAATAGGTATTTCACCAAAGAGGATATTCAAATGGCCGCCAAACACATGAAAAGATGCTCACCATCATTAGTCATCCAAAAACAATCGAACCCACTGCCATAGAGTTGATTCTATGACAAAGTAGAACTGCCCCATAGGGTTCCTAAGGCTGTAAATCTTTATGGAAGCAGACTGCCTCATCTTTCTCCTGCAAAGTGGCTGGTGAGTTCAAACTACTGACCTTTTGGTCAGCAACCCAATGCTTTTAACCACAGCACCACCAGATTAGCTAGCTATCAGAGAGATGCAAATTAAAGCAAAAATGGGCTCTTAGGTTGTTTCCACTTTTGGCTATTATGAAGAGTGCTGCAATGAACATTGGAGTTTCTGCTTTCAAGTCTTTTGGGACTTGAATACGAGGAGTGGAATTGCTGGGTCATGTTGTTTTTGTTGTTAGGTGCCATTGTGTTGGTTTTGACTTATAGCAGCCCTATGTACAATACAATGAAATATTGCCCAGTCTTGTGCTACCCTCACAATTTTTGCCATACTTTAACCCATCATCACAGCCATTTTGTCAGTTCATCTCATTGACAGTCTTCCCCTTTTTTGCTGAACCCCTACCCATCTGGTGAAGTCTACATGTATAGCTGCCATTTATGTTGTTGAAAAAAGATACTTTCAAGTCATTGGTCTAGCTAAATTTAATCTCTCCAGTATCATTTCTACCATCAAGGCCGTATTTTCCAACTACCAATGCTGCTTCTTTGTACCTCCTCATTCCAATCACCACATCTTGATTGCGTGTTTGGTCAATTTCAAACTGCAGAAGTTGGTAAAAATCTTCAATTTCTTCATCTTTGGCTTTAGTAGTTGGTGCATAAATTTGAATAACAGTAGTATAAACTAGTCTTCTTGTAGGTGTATGGATATTATCCTATGAATGACGGCAATGTACTTCAGGATAGATTTAATTTGCCATTCCTGGCATAGTAGACCATATGATTGTCTGATTCAAAGTGGCCAATACAAGTCCATTTCAGCTCACTAATGCCTAGGATATTGATCTTTATGCATTCTATTTGATTTTTAACAACTTCCAATTTTCCTAGATTCAGACTTTGTACATTCCAAGTTCCAATTATTAATGGATGTTTGTAGCTGTTTCTTCTCATTTGAGTTGTGCCATATCAACAAATGAAGGTCCTGAAAGCTTTGCTTCATCCATGTCATTAAGGTCACCTCTGCTTTGAGAAGGTAGCTCTTCCCAGTCATAATGAGTGCCTTCCAACCTGAGGGGCTCATCTCATACTATATCAACAGTGTTTCATTGAGTCATAAGGTTTTCAGTGGCCAATTTTTTCAGAAGTGGACCACTTCTTCCTTCTTCCTAGTCTGTCTTAGTCTGGAAGTTCTGCTGAAACCTGTCCACCATGGGTGACTGTCAGTATTTGAAATACCACTAACATAGCTTCTAGCATCACAGCAACATGCAAGCCACTACAAATAGTACAAGTAGTACAAATTGACAGATGAGTAGTGGAACTTAAGCCTAGAATTCCTATAATCAGGCCATCCTCATTGACCAATGAGATTCTGACATGGCTTTCACCCTTAATGACCAGTGAAATTGTGACAGTGTTTCAACAGTAAATTACATAAGCCAATCAGAAGTAAGCTGCTTTTGCTTTGTTTTGTCATTACATACAGTATAAGCCAATTACTGGTGATACTCAGTGTAGTACCTTTCCACATGTGGTTTGCTGTTACCCAATTCTGGAATATTCTGCCCAAATAAACTTCATCTAATAGATTAATTTTATTATTGGCTGAGTTTCTTTTGACACTATGTAATGCTTATTAAATTACCTGGGTGTTTTGTTTTGTTTTGAAACAGGTTTATTTAGGGTATAATTTCCATATATTAAACTTTTATCCTTTTTAGTTGTACAGTTATGAATTTATTACATATAGTCATTACAATCAAGTTGTAGAACATTAGTTCCATCATCCCAAAAAGCCTCCTTGTGCCCATAGTCAATCTCTTCCCACACTCAGCCCCCGGCAACCACTAATCTGTGTTCTACCTTATAATTTTGCCTGTACCAGAATGTCATATAAGTGGAATCTGAAAAAGTCTTTTGAGTCAAGTTTATTTTACTTAGTATAACAGCAGAGATTCATCAATTTTGTTACATGTGCCTGTAATTTGTTCCTTTTTGTTGCTGAAAAAAATTTCATTGTATGGTTGTACCACAAGTTTTTTATTTTATTTTATCCATATGCCAGTTGATGAACACTTTGGATTGTTTCCAGATTCTGGTGAATATGAATAAAGCTGTTATAAACATTCACATGTAGGTCTTAATATGGACATAGGTTTTCATTCTGCTTGCTTAATACCTAGGAGTGAGAATACTGGAGTATATGGTAAGTGTATTTAAATATGTGGCCTTGGTGATAGAAATGATGCCAGAGATCACATGACAGAATTTTGCAAGAACAACGATTGCAAATATCTTTTTTCAACAATATAAACAGCGGCTTTACACATGGGCCTCACTAGATGGAATACACAGGCATCAAATCAACTACATCTGTGGAAAGAGGCAATGGAGAAGCTCAAGATCATCAGTCAACACAAGCCCAGGAGCTGACCTTGGAACAGACCATCACTTTCTCATATGCAAGAACAAGCTGAAGTTGAAGAAAATTAAAACAAGTCCACGAGAGCCAAAATCTGACCTTAATTATATCTCACCTGAACTTAGAGACCAACTGAAGAACATATTTGACACTGAATACCAATGACCAAAGACCATATGAGTTGTGGGATGATATATCAAGAACATCATACATAAAGAAAGTAAAAGGTCATTAAAAACAGGAAAGAAAGAAAAGACCAAAATGGATGTCAGAAGAGACTCTGAAACTTGCTCTTGAACATAGAGTAGCTAAACCAAGTTGAAGAAATGGTGAAATAAATGAGATGAACAGAAGATTTCAAACAGAAGCTTGAGAAGACAAACTATTATAATGAAATGTGCAAAGACCTAGAGTTAGAAAAACAAAAGGGAAGAATAGTGTGATAGCTGGAGCTGTGTGTCAACTTGGCTGGACCCCAGTTCTGTGTGGTTGTTCCCATGATAGGATCGGATGACTGTGTTCTGAGTGGCCAATCTGCCCACGGGGAGTTTCCCTAAGGGTGTGGCCTGCTTCCAGGATATTCAGGGACATCCTGGGAAGAGAGACATTCTTTGGTGGATTGGGACCCTGGTGTGCTGACTACAAACTTCCGTGAGTGAGCGGCCCACCGCTTGGCCTGGAGATCTTGGATTCGTCTTTCGTTGGAGTCAACAACCAGTGTACTGCCTGCCAGCCTTGAATTTCTTGGCCCCCTGTGCTTGCAGAAGCTAAGGCTGCCTCCAGCCCGACATTTCCTCCACGGACTTTGGACTTGCTGGCTTCTATACGTTTGCGAGCCATTTTCCTAAGATAAATTTTTTTTTCTCTCTCTCTCTCTATATATATATATACGCTTTGCTTGGTTTTGTGTTTCTCTAGAGAAACCAATCTAACACAAAGAGGCTTGACATTTCTCAAACTAAAAGGATTGAGGGAAAAATTCAAGCCTCGAGTTGCAA